TGGGGCAGGGGGCTGCACCTAGCTCGCGGTAGCAGTAGGCGTCCCAGCGCTCCGAGCGGTTCTTCCGGGCGCCCAGGCTGACGACGCCTACCTGACCACCGCCACAGTCTGCCGCGGGGAAGACGACTGGGTGGGCAGCCGAGCCGTTGGCCAGCCAGCCCACAAGGCACAGGTGGAAGCCCAGCTGTAGGGGCAGGAGGGGATGCTGAAGCCTAAGGCCCAACTCGAGAGGGCCCCCACAGGCTCGGCTCCAGACCCCTGGGTCCCACACACCTTCTGGGCAGCAGAGAGCTGAGGGAGAGAAGCAAGAACAGCTCCCTGGGCCCCACAGGCCGCCTCGGCCTCTGAGAAGTTCAGGCCGGAAGGACCACTGGGGGCCTGGAGGTGGAAGACCCCAGCCTGCTTCTCTGCAGAAGGGAGGGACGCGTGATCAGCCCGGCGGCACCGAGGGCAAGCAGGGGCACTGGGGGCGGGCAGGGAAGCACACCCTGGAAGTGGAGGTCCGTGCACACGGCATCCACATGACAGGGCGGTGGCTGGCCCAGGCAGCGGTCCACGGGCGGCTCCGGCTCCTCCAGACACTGCAGTCCGTCACCCACGTAGCCGGCATGGCACACACAGCGCCGCGCGTTCTGGGGCGGGAGACGGGTGGGTGCTCTTGAGGGCCCCGGGAGGGCGGGGGCGCCCGCTCTGTGGAGCCTCCCCAGCTCCGCGGCTCCGCGGCTCCGCGGCTCCCCGGCTGCTCACCGGGCCGGTGCTCAAGCAGTCCGCATGCTCACTGCAGCCCCCGCGGCGGCCATCGGCACAGGGGTCGCGGGCCCGGCAGCTCCAGCCGTCGCCCTCGTAGGCGGGCAGGCAGGCGCAGGTGACCACGGTGCCCACTTGGCTGCAGTTGGCGTGCTCGCTGCAGCCGCCGTGCCCGACCCGGCACAGGTCTGCCACTGGGGGGCAGGGAGAGAGTGGCAGGACCAGGGGACAGGAGGGGCGGGGGGGAGCCCCCCACCTCGCATCCCACCCCCCTGCTCACCTGTGCACGTGCGGCCGTCCCCTTCATAGCCCAGGCCGCACTCACAGCTGCCGTCGGCGCGGCACACGGCCTGGGGTGCGCAGGGCGGGGCACACGCGGGCTGCAGCTCTGTCGCCCCAGGGCCCACCCCACACACCCAGGTGAGGAGCTGCCCTCTTGGAGGCCGCCAACCCCCTTCCCACCACCCCCCCCCAAGTGCCTCAGCCTGAGTGTGCAGCCGGGGCCGGCCGGTGTCCGCAAGCCAGCACAAGCATGCGGGGGTGGGGGGGGGGTAGATGATGGGGCACAAAGAGCACTCACCCAGCTGCACCTCACAGCTCGGCCCCGTCCAGCCCTCGTCACAGAAGCAGGAACCGGAGCCCCCCAGGCCCTCATCACAGCGGCCATGGGAGCTGCAGCGGCAGACTGGGGAGAGGCACAGGCAGGAGGATGGGGCCGAGGGCG